AAATTCCTGGACATTTGAGGGGTGGAGCCTAGGGAGGGTGGGATTTGAGGAGGGGAGAAACTACAGACCAGTATAATGCCATAGACTCCAACCTCCAAACCATACATGGAGGAAAGAGAGAAAGAAAGGGAGGGGCAGAAGGGAGAAAGAGTATGAGAGAGGTAGGGGGAGACAGGAGGAAGCAAAGGCGTGAGGAATAGGATAACCATCTCGCACGTTTCTTGCGGGTCTCCACTTGTGTGTGTGTGTGTATATATATGTATACACACACACACACATGTATGTACATGTATGTATGTATGTGCAGTAGATGGTTACGGCATTGGCTAGGTCCAGGTAGGTAGCCATGTTGGTCTGAAGAAGTAGAACAAAGTTTGAGTCCAGGAATTTGCCATTATTCTGCTTTGTTTCTTGTTATTTTTTTCCCTTCTTCTGGCGCTGAGATTAGGTTGAATTCAAAAACCTCAAAAAACATTTTTGTTAAAGGTTTCGAAGTCTTCCATGTAGCTACAATAATCACAGTTCCCACATTCTTGATAAACATTTATACAATTAGAGACTAAGCAGCCTGTGTTTTGCATGTGGCATAGAGAACAGAACATGAGATGCCCTATTCTCTGCAACTTGCTTCACACAGAAGCCCATGAACACTGTATGGTGAGAAATCTCCAGGTGATTGCAAATAAGGAAGCAAGGATATGTATGCCACCAGGAAAAAAAAGAAAAGAAAATGTGTTTCCTAAAACTGTCTTGACAATGAACAGATTTGTTAAACTTTTCAAAGTTACTTTTGCTGACATCCTACAACACCAATCCTAAAAGAATTCTGAAAGAAAGATCTTAGTACTACCTATTATGTTTTGCATAGATCAGAAACTGTTCTCAAAAATAAGATAGAAATTCCTTTGTTTCAAGAGAAAAAAGTGTTAATTTATAATAAAGAGAAAAAATGGATATAAATTTATTTCTTGGTCATCGTATTTATAAGTAAAAATACATCACTTTTGAATGACCAATAAAATGAATGACCATTTTCAATTTCTTCTGAAAAAATGAAAAAAGGAAAACTTATATGCACACACACACACTGTGATTTCTTATTGTACATTAAATTAGCTTGGATTATGAACACTTCAAAGAATTCACAAGAGTTGTATATTTGGTTGAGGACAACAAAATGCATGAATTAAAGTAGAATGCTACATAACCTGTAGTAAAGACTGAAAAATCCATTCATTATTCTTACCTGAGATGAATATGTGTGACCATCAGAACCACAAACAGGATTATTATAAACTACTGGGCACTGCTTGCATTTTGATAAAACAGGACCGACTCTCCATTGTTTATGGCCCAAACCAGCCTCTTTCATCCTACAAGAAAATTAAAAATGTAGGTAAATGATGAGCAATAACAGAAAATTGATCCAAAAAGTGTAAAGAGATAACAACAGAGCAGTCAAACAAAAACTACCTAGGCTTTTAATTATGATGTTGATGTCAAAATTGTTTTACAGCTATTACTAGCTATTTCTTTATTACGGCATTGAGCCAACATAACCATAACATGTTAGGATACAGAGTTTTAAAAATCTGGGTAAAATGCAGTAAAATATATATAAGACCATAAAAGTATTTGACAAATCCAGTATGAAATATAAAAGGCGAATTTCTAATACGATAGCATGCCGCCCAGAATTTAGCCACAGATTCAGTAATAGTCCGATTATCATCGGATAACAATCGGTTACACTACCTGTCTGTCTGGCCAGATGTTTCTTTTACAAAAGTTGTGATATGTTTGTCTCGAATCATATTGTACCAGCTGCATCTAAACATCATATGTTCAAAGAGGAACATTGGCTGAGGAAGGGAAGACCCATGGGGAGGCAAGCCTCCCCTTCACCTCCCTGTTGGGAGCCACACAGTATGTGTAAAAGAGCTGCATGTGGCTCCCAAGGCACAGTTTGGCCACCCCAGTGAGAAATTCATTTTATTAGTTTTAGCCCAGTTTCCCAACCTGTCACGGTCATACTGAACCTTCTTTCTACTGTTTTTGTGACGAACCCCCTTATTTTAGGGTATGAGGGGTTTGGTTTCTTTAACCTTTCTCAGGCTGGAACTGGCTTATTTCCCCCTGACACTGTCTGCCAGCCTCTTTCAACACAGGAACCCACACAGTTTGTCGTTTTATCAAAACTCAAGCCACTTATTGTCTCTGGGGCTTTTTATGAACACTGCCTTTTTATAGGATGAAGTTTACTGTTTAGCTTTGTCAGATACTGTAGCACATGCAACTTGGAACAGTAAAACCAACTGAATAATTTATTTACTAAGACAGACAGGAAATACATATGTACAAGGGAAAACTTTGATGCTTGTGGATACATAGTTGCAGATGGTATATTTCAGCTTTAGGTTAGTTCCTTCAAATCAGTCACTTCAAATGACACAGTACAAATCACTTTCTCTCTCCAAACTCAACCCTTATGCTGTTTTAGACAGCCAGTTTTTGTGTGGGTTTCTTAGCTACTCTCCACCTTCACAGGTCCTGGCGGGAGCTGGTCCATGGGGTTGCGAAGAGTCGGACTCGACTGCGACTGAACAACAACAACCTTCACAGAGAAATACCTCTGCTGTGCCTTAGTTTGACTTTGGACTTCCACTAGTCCAATAAACTCTTCTGGCACACACGAAACCACCTAAACCAGGCTCTTTCTCCAGCAGGGTATAATTTCTAAGGGAGAGGAATGTGTATTTCTTATTTAACCACTAGGAGCTTATTTTCCTGGTTAAGACTCCTTAGTTTTCACTATGGTTTTCACGTTTGGCTTTTCTCAGTTTCCCTTAATATTGGAAACTATATAGATATCTCATTTGTTCCAACAAGACTTGTCCATCCCCTGGCTCAGTACCAACTGACTACAAACCAACTGACAGTCTCAACTGCCAAACTCCAACTGTCAAGAGTTCATTTGTTTGTTTTTATTTAGAACTCCCCCTTGAGTTCTGCATCAGACTTACATCACCACTGCTAGTCATGTGACTTGCAGGTGTCTTTGCTTGCAGGCTGATCTCAAGCCTGGAATCCATCACAGCTCCCAATTTAGTATCATCTACAAATTTAATGTATCCCCTCTACTCCTTCATCCAAGTCATTTATAAAGATGTTGAACAACACAGGGCCCAGGACAGATCACTGAGGCACTCCACTTGTCACTCCTCTCCAAGAGGATAGGTAAGGGTAAAGGTTTCCCTTGCTTGAAAGCCAGTTGAATCCGACTCTAGGGATGCAGTGCTCATCTCTGTTTCCAAGCCGAAGAGCCAGCGCTGTCCAAGGAACCATTAATAAGTACTCTTTAGGTACCACCTGTCACAAATCCACTGAACAGTAACACATTTTATCAAGTTGTCAACAAGAATGTGGAACCTTAACAAAAGCATTACTGAAATCAAGATAAATGATGCCCACAACATTCCCCTGATCTGACAAACTAGAATCTTTCTCAAAAAAGGTTAGTCTAACATGACTAACAGTTAATCTTTAAGTACCATGAGGAACCCCTGCTGGTTCTTAATCATCACAACTGTCTTTTCTAAATGTTCAAGGACTGACCACTTGATGATTTGTTCTAAAACCTTTCCAGGTATGACCATCAAGCTGACAAGATTGGTAGTTACCTGGATCCCCCTTTCCCCCCCTTCTTTAAGATGAGGACAATACTTGCCCACCTCCAATCTTCAGGTACCTCACCTGTTCTCCAAGATTTCTCCAAAATGATGGACAGAGGCTCTGAAATTATACCAGCAAGTTTCTTTAGTATCCTCAGATGCAGTTCATCTGGCCCTGAGGACTTGGTTTCATTTAAAGAAGCTAGGTGTTTATGTACCACCCCTAAGCTTGTCCTAGGCTGCAACTCCCTTCCTTCATCCTGTGTCCTCTTTTTGCCAGGTTGTGCACCATTTTCCTTGCACAGAAGACCGAGGCAAAGTAGGAACTGGGCAGTTCTGCCCTGTTATCATCACCTGTTGAAATTCCACTTTCCTCTCTCCATAGTGGGCCTACCACTTCCTTGTTCTTACACTTTCTCCAAACAAAAAAACCATTTTTTTGTTGTGTTTAGCATTTCTCACTCATAATCTTAAATTCATACTGAGCTTTAGCATTTCTAACACTCTCCCCTAAACACACTTGCTATTTGTTTATATCCATCCTTGGTCATTGTGGTGGAACGTGCCTGCTCTGGCCTGCAGACCCTATTTTGCCCTGCCCTCCAAAGTGTTTTCCTTACTCTCCCATAGCCCACCACCTGACTTCTGCAGGAATTACCCACTGGAAGGGTCAGGATTCCCAGCTTCCCTTTCAAGTTGTGAGGCCTTGCTTCTGTGTCTCCCGCTGCCTAGTGCTCAGTCACCACTGGGACAGTTTACTGCTGTGTATGCCACTGGACGAATAGCCGCTTGCCAACTGCCTTCCTTCCTCCTGGCACTCCCTTTGAAATAGTATGCTCGAATCTGTGGAGGTCTGTGTGGTACAGAGAACCCTTACCAGTACCAAAGTTATAAAGTATTTATTAAAAAGAAAATGTTTGTGAGCGTACTTTTAGCACAGCACCAGATTTGAGCAAGGGATGCAAAAGACATAAATAAAACATAAATCCTCTGACCCTCTCTCTATACATGCCTTATCAGATGTCAAAATATAGGACAGGCTCTTTAGCTTTAAGAAGTCACACATCTCTACTTAGCCACCATAACCTTTCTAGTCTAAAGTCCTCCAAAAATCTCTATACCATCCCATTGTCTCTAACTAGATCTATTAGCATTTGTATGAAGGTAAACTGGCATACAACTGGACTACCTGTTCTCTGCCCAGAAGGGGGAAAAAACCTGTTGAAATGCACAGGGGAGTGCTCATTTGCTCAAAACTCCCAGGGGGAAAAAATGCATTTCTTCACAGTCATATTGCCCTCCTTCCAGTTCCTAAATGTGTCTCTGGCTTCTTTAGGTTTCTCTCATTTTTCTTTCTCATTGGAATAGTATGTGATTGTGCCTTCAATATCTCACTTTTAAGAAACTCCCACCCCTCCCTTCTCCCTGAGTATTTCTGATCATGTGATTCTACCTAAGGTAACTTTGAGATGGTTAAAATTAGCTTTTCTAAAATCCAACCTATATGACATCATGTACAGCTTTTCCCTTCCTTCCAGTTCCATTCCTTACAGTTGTCTATGCCCACTCCTTTCCACCACATCAACCAGTTCTTCCCCTGTTGGAGAGAATCAAGTCCAACATAGCAAGGAAATGCCAAAGCAAAAAAGTCTTCACCTGCTGGCACAAGATGGCAACAGAAGGGTACAGACAAGTCTCCCTCAAGAAAGACTTCCAGAGCTTTGGTGCCATTAACAAGAAGGCCCTAATCCGCCTAATCTTACAAGGTTGGGAGCATCTGAAGCAGAGCCTTGGAAGAAGACCATAATGGTCAGATATGTCCATAAGGGAATAGGTGGTCCTTCAGGTATGCTGGCTCCAAGCCACGTACGACGTAACACTGTTATTTTACATTGACAGAACTCAGACATGGCATTAAAAAGGAGTTCTAATGCTCAGGGGGCTCAGGCTCAAGTTAATCCCTTTTATTTGTCCATGGTTTGGTTTTTGAGAGTTCAAGCTGAGCAGCTGGGGAGATTGCATGCAACCAGCAGAAAGGCTTCTCTGACCTTTAAATACTTTGATATATTTATATATCAACATACTATGCCACATACATACTCTTCATATTAGCAACTGATCCATTTTATATAGTACCTATAGCCATAATCTTACCATTCACATTTCATCCAAACATGCATAATCTCAGCTACCAAATAAGTATCTGAAGAGAATAGGTTTATATGTCTTCCCCCTTAGAATGCATAAACTTCAGAACATACATCATATGTATTAGTCTTAATTTCTAAATGAGAGGATCCTGAAGCTCAACTCTGACTGTCATGTCTATTTTACACAGAAGTCATGCTCCCAATTCATGTGGTTCTGCAAGAATAGTTAATATTTCTCAGTGAGGAGACGATGGCAGATATTTAAAGGCATTCTTTCCTTTACTACAGCTTTACAAATCCTGGTGTGGAGATGGATTAAAAATGGTGTTCACAACAGCTCAGCAATCACCAGCTATCATTACTGCTGGTTTAAGGCAACAGACACAGGACCTGGAAAAAAACAGGTTGCTTACCTGTAACTGATGATCTTCGAGTGGTCATCAGTGCATTCACATCTCTGGGGTTACAGTGCGCCTGCGCCAACTCCGAGTGGTATTTCGGAAAACAAAAGGAATTTTTTTCTGCCCACTCTCCAGTCACGTGCTGGGCTCC